CTGAAACAATAGCAGGCTGTCCGTGCTCGGTCAAGTAGAATTTTACTGACTCTGAACCAGCCCCCCCCCTCCCCCGAACGCGTGGCCCACAGTCCAAACGTTAATACCTCCCTCCCCTCACCAGCAAAACCTGCCGCCGCAGGAGTCACGTCACCATAACCCTCCCACCTAATCCCACCCTGTTCGTTGTAACGTCTGCCCCCAAAACCTCTAGTGCGACATTCCCAGCCATCACTTTTCATTTATTCTGACGACTTGTTCGAAAATTCACGAGTATAACTCGATTTTCCGAAGATCTTTTTTTCACTTCAAATAATGTCACGTTTTCTAGGTAAAGAATCAGCCGACTTCATCCAAATACTGTCTAAAATACACAAACATATGCCATACAATCAACATTTCGTGCAGGGCCTCCATTGTATTTCTTTTAATGCTTTTATGGACATTTTTATTGGCATTCATTTTACTTTACCGGTTGTAACACTTAATGATGCAATTTTTGACGTGACAATATGATGGCTCTACGTACTTTTTGTACTATAAGTATGTTTCAGACTAAGTTCACACAGATTCATCCGTAAACGTAGAGAAACCGCATCGTAATGTCCTTTTAAGGATACCAGTGAAGACTTTTGCACTCCAGGTGATTTTTTTTAATTGGTGGTATGAGCTTTTGAACAGGGCGCCGCGAGACAGTGGCCACCTTGTTTTACGCAGCAATATCGATTTTTTCGAAGCGGCGAGTGACCATTTTGGCAGCACAAACTACGAGAATTGAGGCAAGCCATGGGTCAGTGCACGTCAACGCCGCATAAATTTGTAAAACGCTTCAATCGACTCAAGAGCGAAGACCAACGTGAAGTATTTCGTTTGCTAACACAAATCTACGATGTTAGCGTTGACGGATTTCCCAAAGATTTTGTGGATAAGAGCATAAATACCGTCTCGGGATTGTTTGACAGCGCATCTATTGCTCCGACACCAGGCCTGGAATACAGACCGTTCCAAAGGCTACGACTCACTGCTGATCCTCTGTCATATACGACTGGCTTTTTTTCAGAAAATGAAAACCCCCCGCCTGAATCGGAATTGAAAACACCGACAATTCCCGATGAGAACTTCCATGAAAATCAGTCTGAACCACCAAATGTTGGAGATATGAAATCGACGGCAAATAATTCCAATTCCCTAAAGCCCGAGCCCGATGCGAAGTCAGAAACTAATTCAGGTCTTTCTGCATGTACCTTCACCATACCCTTAGAATTCCAGGGCTTTATGGTGGACAATTGTTGGACCGCGGAAAAACGTTCATCACCTCGGCAGCTGGAAGAACCTCCAGAAGGAAACACTGCTTCCTCCAGAACATTTCCCACTGCAGCTGAGAAAGCCCAGCTAGTGCAGTCCTGGCTTGAAAATCAACGACCCGAAGGCCCTAGGGAATACCCTTTCA